AAAGCGGAACGGAAAATCTTTTTTTTTTTTTTTTTTTTTTGTTTTATTTGAGTGTTGGAAGGGCCTGATGTGTTTTTTTTTTTTTTTTTTTTTTGGGAATTCACTTTTTTTTTTTTTTATTGACCCGCTCTTCGTTTCGATTTGTTTATGTGTTTTGCTGTGGAAACGTGGGGGGCGGGCATGTGGGGTTCGAGCACCTCTACAATTCGACGGGGGATGAAGCGCTGCGCGGATTCCCGGGGTGGCATGCGTGCCGCGGGTGTCTTGAGTGCTTCGCGTGACGGAAATCTTTTTTTTTTTCTTTTTTTTTTTCTCCTTCTTTTCTGCATATAAATATGTATAGAAAGAGAGGGAGGGAGAGGGAGGGAGGGAGGGAGGAATGGGGGGAAAGGGAAAAGAGACAAAAAACAAACAAATAAAAATAAAAATAAAAATAAAAATAAAAATAAAAATAAAAATAAAAATAAAAATAAAAAGTGGTTCGTGATGCATCGGTTTTTTTTTTTTTTTTTTCTTCTTCTTCTTGTTGTTGTTGTTGTTGTTGTAATTTATGTGCGTTCCCTTTTCTTGTGTGTTTACAAGCAATTGTTTATTTACGACAAGAGGAGGAGAAGCAAAAGGAACAGCAAGAAAAGGAAAAAAAAATATATATATTTATTTCCATGTATTTCCCACACATATATATATATATATATATATGCATGCATGCATGCATGTGATAAATAAATAAATATTTATATATTCTTTTAGAGTCTCTCCAATTCGTTATTATTGTTGTGATTATTTATTTATTTATTTTATTATTATTATTTTATTTTTTTCTAATTGCTTGTGGTTTTTGTTTTCACTGTCCGCAAAAATGAACTCCTGCTCTTTCCTCGCGCGTCGTCGCAGGACAGCCATTTTTCCCTTTTGTGTCGTTCACTGTGTGCTTTCACCTCTGGCCTTTGTTTCTTCTGTTCGCTTGCGTCATCTTGGCGAGGAGGGGGCGACCCGATGCGGGTTTTGTGCGTTTGTTTCTGTTTTTTTTTTTTTCTTTTTTGGTGGTGTTGGGGACTTGGGAGGCCGAGTGGTGGAGTTGACGGGAGAAAAGAAAAAGCAGAAGAAAAAAAAAAGGGGGAGGTGAGGGCGGAGGAAATGAGTCGCGCAGACAAGAGGCAGCACCGCGACCACGTGGTCGGCACGTCGAGGGATGCGTCGGTGCGCCTCTACGCATTTGCCACTACGAGGCCGAGATATCAGGTGGTTTTTTCCCCCGAAAGGCCCGTCATTGTGCTCAAGACGAGGAAAGGGTCGGCGCATCAGCACCCCTGCAGTCAGTGGGCCCCGCTTGCCTCCCTTTTGTTCTCCCAACGCCCCAGCACGACACATGCCATGTACGTTGTTGACACCACGGCGCTGCCTGAAGCGATGGAGAAGGAAGAGCGCGCCACGCCAAATGTTGGCCCCGTCATCAAGCGTCTCTCGAATGTGATGGCCAAACTTAATGCACATGAGGCCACAATGGTCGCCGCGGGCGTGTCCGCTCCTCTTGCCTTCAAGTACGTCATTATGGGGGAGAAGACGCTGGGTCACACCGATCGTCTTGTGCGTCGTCTCATTATTCTTTGTCCCGCGTCCATCCGGCCATTTCAACAGATTGCGAGGGATGCAGGCAAGAGAGCTTCTGGGGTGGAGTACCCAAAGCCTCAACTGGTGGTGCTGCTCTCGGATGAATCCCAAGCGCGGGAATGGCGGGAATGGCTTCAGGATTCCATTGCGAACACGACCAGTGGCGTGTCCTTTTTGCTTGAATCGTGGTCTCTTTCAACAAATGTAAAGCCCTCTTTTTTTGAGTCTGTGGCGAGGGAGAGCGGCAGCGTCGCGGATGGCACGACGGTGAACTTGGAGACACATTTCAGCACGCCACACGTCTTTCGCATTGACTTTGTGCTCAGCAGGGAGAGCAAGAAGACCGAGCAACGGGTTACGCCCAGCCCACTGACCACCACAGGATGCGATGACGACGCTGGGGATGGCGGCTTGGAGGCGGATGAGGCGGAAGGTGAGAGGAGTCTAAGCGAGGGATCGTCCTTAGAAGAATGCGACTGCTGCGCGGAAAGCAGCAGCGTGCTCGGCATCACAAATCTGCAACACTGCAGACAACCAACGCGGGTGATTTTGGAGGGTCGCATCATGGACGCTGGGGCATGTATTCTGGGCACTACACAGGGTCGAGTGAGGATGCATCATCTTGATGAGGCCGCGAAGTCTAGCGCCCTCGGAGCAAATGGATTGAAGCTAAAGAAGGGATTGGCAGTTCGTGTGGAGTCCAGCCTGGAACGTGATGAAATCGGAAGGACAACACTGAAGGCGTTGAGGCTGACACCCCTCACGAGGATGCAAGAAAAACGTTCCATGACGGTTTGCTCGATGGCGGAGGTTCCAACCTACAACGTTTCGACCATCGCCCATGCATACGGAGCGCTTCTTGTTCGAGGGCGGAAGTGTGTGCTTGTGCGTGGTTTCTCTGGAGAGTTTGATGGAATGCGGCTGCCATATCTTTTACACGACGATGCGCAGGAATCAGCCATGGATTGTGCAGTGCGGGCATTATGCGAACGTTGTGATATTAGTCCCGATAATTTTTACATCCCAAGCTGCATCTCGCCCGTATGTTACTACGATCGTGTCGGTACTGACGGGGTGTGCGTGTGCGTGACGATGCACATTGCGTTGGCTGTTAGCGCACCATCCGGTGCTGCCAGGGATGCCATGGAGGAAGATGAGTCTCCAGAGGAGCCTTACGACTGGTTCGGGTACGCCAAGGCAATGCGAATTCTAAGAACCGAGAAAGAGAGAGAGGCACTTCAGGAACTGCAGCGCTGCCTGCGTCGAGCGTATGATGCTGGAGTGTACGTGCCTTTAAAGGGATTTGGCGTGTTTGGTGACGACGTGGTAGACGCGACAGATTCCTCTAAACTGCCAACGTCCAATTTATTAGCGGGACTGGAGCTGATGGTTGTTTGTGCCCCGGGGGATAGGGAGGGAAGCATCATGCAACTTGCAAGCGAAATTATTACTGAATGTGTTGTGCGCGTCACGGAGCCAACCTCGCGGGAGGAGATTGAAGAGGCCGCAATTGCTACCCGGCGTGCAGGCGCAGATAATCTTGTTCTGTGTCTTTCCTGCGATCTTGACGTCAATACCTTCTCCGAGGAGGAGCTGACGTACTGGGCAGGGAGAGGCGCACGACCGCGAATGATGACAGTTTTACTTCCAGGCGTAAGCGAGATGATCCTTCAGCAACGGGATGAGGCTGCCGCGGCTGTGTTTGTGCATAGTGTAATTTTATCGGACGTACTTTTGACGGTTGAGAGCGACATGGAGCGACTCTCCCCTGCAACATGGGGATTACTGCATCTTGCAAACCGGCTAAACAGCGATCTAGCGCTTTACTGTGGTCTTACTGCACGTCGACCCATCAACTTTCCGTCGCCGTTGATGACTTCTGCTGCGAGTGTTTCGAATTTGTCCGAGGAGTCACTTCACGAAATCACCATTCGGCGCATGGGTCGGCCTCTTATAGCGGCTCGTCTTGCACCGCTGCTTGAGTCAGGCGGACTGCGGGGCTGTTGTCGAGACGCTACAATTTTATGGGCAAAGGGGGATGTATGGCTGAGAAGTCGTCCCCATGCAAGAGGCAGCCTGACACTTGACGCCCGCTCCTGCTGCTTTGCGCTGGAAGAAGGCGATCCCTGGCAGGAAAACGAGGACTCGACGACGCGAGAGAATGTGATTGTCCTGCACGTATGGGCAACAAATGCGGCAGTCAAGGAGTTGGAATGTGTGATGGGGGACATGTTGAACGGCATGCTTTGCGGCACCTCGCCGCCCGGGTCGGAGGCTGCCAGCGAGGATGGTCTCCCTCCATGGGACTGACTGTGGACGCCGCCTGTCGTCTGTGAGTTTTTCGTTACTGGCGGTGCCTCATCCCCGGTTTTTTTGCCGACTAGGAGACATAAGAAAGAAGAAAGAAAAACAAACTAAAACGGGGCCAAAGAAGCAAATGAAAAGGCCGCAAAGATGGACGGCACCACACAGAGAGAGAGAGAGAAAAAAAAAAAAAGAAGGCAAGAGGCGATGAAGAGGGCGAGGCCCCTTCCATTTTCCCACAGTTGTTACCATCGCGTAAGGCAAAGAAATAAGCATAAAAGCGATTAACATGGCGGTTGTGTGAGATAAAATTGTAACGATGCTCCCTCCACCTATTTGTTTGTCCTGTTGTTTGTGCGTTGTCCTCCTCCCTGCGGCGCGTGCCATCTCGCGGAAACCAACGTTTTTCTGCTTTCTCACTTTCCATTTTTTTTTTCCGCTTTGTCGTGTTTTTCTTTCTTGCAGGACTTGTCTTGGGGCGTCTGACAGGACGAGAGTGAACAAAACGCATAGACATACACAAAAATAGAGAAACGCCCCAAGCAGAGGAGAGAAGAAAAAGAAAAGAAGTGCGCTCAGAGGGCGGGCCACGCCGCTTCTCCACCCTCGTTATTCATCAATGACGGTTCACCTGTTGTGGATTATCAACCAGTCCGGGCAGCTCATCGCGAAGTCTAGTTTCACGGCCCCGGAGAACATTGGGGAACTTGGCGCTAAACCGGACCTGCAGCTTACCATGTCCAGCATTCTCTTCTCCACATACGGCATGTCGCAGGAGTTGACACCCAACGCCAATCCCGTTGATAGTGCGGGAATGACACTTGTGGAATGTGAGGAGCACAATATTCACATATACGAGACTCCAACGTTGGTGAAGTTTGTGCTCGTTTCCGATAGCCGCACCCGTGAGTGCAATGCCTTGTTTCGCGAGCTGCACTCCCTTTACGTGGAATACGTGATGAAGAACCCCTTTCACATTGTAGACGAGGGGGGCATCGGACAACCCATCCGCATTGCAGCTTTCACAGGGGCTGTTAAAAGAGCTGTTGATCGCTATCACGCTGCCGGCGTGTTGACTGCCACACGGAAATGAAAGGGCCCGTGGTGGATACATCTGCGACGACATGCAGGCTCCCACTAATAGCAACGACTCTGCTTGTTGGATGACGAAGTACGGCTTTTGTGGTGTTTTCGTGTTGTTTTGGTTGTTGCATTCTCTCACTTTTTCTTCTCGTGGCTGCAAAAGGGACATGTGATGATGGCGGCGTTGCTTAACTTGGCAAAGGACACACCTCTCCTTCCCCCCTCTGCGATGTGTGGGTTATCAACGGAGAAAAAGCTAAAACAAGAAAAACAAGCAAATAAAAGAAGAGAGAAACAAATCGCGACACCTTTTCTCTCTCACCCTTGTTGTGTAGTCGTCAGCGTGGAGGTTGTGTCAGGGGGAGGAATGGGCAGCAGCACGGTGTTCGCGTACTCCGCGCTGATGGGTGGCAAAAGCGTGGCACTCTCCAATTACACCGGGCGCGTAACTGTTGTCGTCAACACCGCCTCCCTTTGCAGTTTTGCCAACTCGAGCCTGCAGCAGTTGACACACGTGCAGGAAACGTACGGACCGCGCGGTTTCACCATCCTGGCTTTTCCCTGTGCTCAGTTTGCCAACCAGGAGCCGAAAAGCAACGAAGAGATCGCCGTGTGGGCGCAAACGTGTGGCTTGAATTTTCCGCTGTTTGACAAGGTGAAGGTGAAGGGGCCGGATGCACACCCGTTGTTTCAGATGCTGCAGGCCTCGCTCGGCCCTATACGCTGGAATTACACGAAGTTTATATGCGACCGTGAAGGCATCCCGCTGGTTAAATTGGACTCGTCCTCCTTTTTGGAAGAGCTGCGGCGCTCCATCGAGCAGGCTTGCGGGCCGCAACGGGGTGCATGAACCTCGACGCAGCGTGACATTTGGTGTGACGCCTTGGCGCAGGCAAACCCCTGGCGGAAGACGCAACTGCGTGTGGTCCTGTTGTAACAACTCCCCTTGTGTAGCATGAGGAGGCTTCTTTTGCCCTTCCCACAATGACGTGAGCATGTGTGTATGCGTGTCCCGGTGCAAATTTTAAAGGGAGACGCACCTTCTTTTCTTTATTATTATTATTTCTGCGAATCTCCGAAAAGATACGGGCATATTTTTAAAAAATTATCCAAGAAAATAACAACAACAGGAAGGAAAATGGTCTTCAGCATTCCTCCGCTCCCATGGGGCTACGATGGGCTTGCGGCAAAAGGCCTCTCAAAGCAGCAGGTGACGCTCCACTACGACAAGCACCATCAGGGGTATGTGACGAAACTCAACGCCGCGGCGCAGACAAACTCCGCGCTTGCAACGAAGAGCATCGAGGAGATCATCAGGACGGAGAAAGGCCCCATCTTCAACCTTGCGGCGCAGATTTTTAACCACACGTTCTACTGGGAGAGCATGTGTCCTAATGGCGGTGGCGAGCCGACGGGAAAAGTTGCCGACGAGATCAACGCTTCATTTGGCAGTTTTGCGAAGTTCAAGGAGGAGTTTACAAACGTGGCTGTGGGCCACTTTGGCTCGGGTTGGGCGTGGCTTGTGAAGGACACCAATTCCGGCAAACTGAAAGTCTACCAGACGCATGACGCGGGATGTCCACTGACAGAGCCCAACTTGAAGCCTCTCCTTACATGCGATGTATGGGAGCATGCGTACTACGTGGACTACAAGAACGACCGTGCGGCATATGTTCAGACCTTTTGGAACGTTGTCAACTGGAAGAACGTGGAACGGCAACTTTGAACACGACTGAGTGAAACGAAAGACACGGAGTGATGGGTCACATCATTCTCGCCCCGTGGATTTACATTGCAAAAACCATTGCTTTTTGATGTCTTGATAAATACACTGCGATGGGAACCGAAGGGGTGCATGGAAAACGGAAGAAAAAAGAGCCTGGCAATAATTGAAATGGAAAAAAAGAGAGTAGCATTTAGAGAAAAACCAAAAAAAAAAAAAAAAGAAGACAAAAAGAGAATTTATGAACGGGCGTGAACCTGCGGAAACGCATTGGACACGGAGAGCGGGGGCAAAATAAAAGGGACCAAAAGGAGTGGAAAAACAAAAAAAAACGAAAAAAAATTACATCAAAATATGAGGGAAAAAACAAGAAAAATGAAAAAAATTATATTTCCGGGTCACTTGTCACCAAAATACTCCGGTGTAATAATTCTTACTGGATCATTTGCAGCCTCCTTTTTTCTATTTTTATGTGGTCCAAGCGAGAAGGAAAAAAAAAGGGAAAGGGATTGCTTTCAGAGGGAGGGGGATACTTTAACGGTGAGGCTTGACTTCCATGACGTAGGTCTATGAGTATACGAGTTGAGTATCCACTGTTGCTGGCTGTGTGTGTGTGTGTGTGTGCGTGTTTTTGGGGTTTGTCAGTCTTGGGCTGCCCTGTTGATTCTTTTTTTGTTGTTGTTGTTAGAAATGAAGAAGGATGCGCTGCGGAATTTTCTCTTTTCTTCTTGTGTTTTCTTGAATGAATTTGATGGCGCACAGTCGGTATTTTAACGCTTGCCTCCAGGTCTCATGGTGTTACGACTGTGCCTCCGTCATACGCGGCTGGTCGATGCCGTCGGCCCTGTGCTAACAAAACCATACTGAGAAAGAAACATTGCTGGATCTTGGCTTCCCACAGCAATACTTGGCGCAATTGGCCCTGACACCGAGGTGATGTGGCCGACAGCATCATCCGATAAGAAAGGACATGAAACCCAATCAACCCATATGCGGCAACAAAGGTGGCGTTGGAGTAGATGGTGAAGTCGTGCCATATATCGTTTGGACTGCCTTGCATCATTGACCACGGAAATAATGTGTATGGACCATACCAGCACCGAAAGAAGTTTATACCTCGGTTTATTATGCTTCTGAATGCTGGGAATAAAATGACTATTCAAAGCAATGACGGCAATAAGCACACATTTATACATGCAATTGATGTGGCGCGGGCATTTGTTGCAATTATTAACCATGGGTTTATTGACGATGTGTACAGCATTGGATCTCGTGACGAGAAGAGTGTGCTGGATATTGCCCGTATGACCGTTGTTAAATATGTGCGAGCGCACATGAATGGAGAGAGGGAGCCGGCAGGGCGCCCAAACTGCTTTCTTCACCTCTTCTGTAAGGACTTGTCTGTGCATGTGTGTGTGAGTGGTGTGAAATATGACGAGCTCTTTTTCGTTCCCTGTGGAGTGTGGGGGTTAATGTTTCCTGCTTCGTATTTTTATTTTATGTCTTTGTTTTTATTTTATTCTGTGAAGCCACTACTGAAAAAAGAAAAAAACGTGCCTTCACCACCCTTCGTGTGGCTTTTATTTATTCTGTTGTTGAAGGAACCCGCGTGCATTTTTCTTTGCCGTCTTTCTCTCTCTGCTGAGGGAACAACCTTTCCTCTGTTACTTCATTCATCTCCAAGGACTTGGAATTGCCGACACTTCTGTGGGAAGGACCAAAAAGTGTCGCGGGGAATGTGACGGGGCTGCATCTGTACTTGGCAAAAAACATTTGCAGGCATAATGATACCTACATCCCTGCCGCACGAGGCGGTGTCAAGTTTGGTTGGTAATGTGGCAACGCATTCATTCTATGTGGCTGCATCTGCCATCAGCAATGCCCGGTGATGGCGATGTGCGCTGACGGTTTTCCTCCCCCCGGCGAGGTGACAGTAGCAACAGGGAGACTGAGAGGGAGAAGCGGTGGCCGCATACTCGCGCACGCGGATCTGAATGACGAACGCATAAAAAGAAGGCAACGAAGTCGACTGGCGTCGCGCAATTCGCACAGATTGCATCGAGAAATGCAGTCCGCTTTCTTTCCTTGCGTGGGAGCCTGCCATGATGCATCGCTGTTGTGGCGTGTACGGTTCAGGGTCTCTGTGTGGTTCTCACTGCACTGCGTTCTCTTCCCAGTTGTTTGTGTGTCGAGGGCGATAAACCCATGCCCTCTTGCATGTGGTGTGCGTTGCACGCTGTGCCCCGCACCGTGTGGATGACTTTCTTGTTGTGCTTGTCGGCCATTTCTGTGCCTATTCTCTCTCTCTCTCTCTCTCTCTCGTCCTTCTTCTGATTGCCTGCCGGGGCTCAGTTCCAAACGAAGCCGAATAGGAAAGCAAGGGGAAAAGATGCCAGAGCGTCACGGGGAAGGAAACGGCGAGAATGGGACGAGTCCCGCGTCTACAGTGCCGCAGGGACTTACTCGGGCGAGAGCGAGGTGGGTGTCCCGTAGTGGCCAACCCGCTGCGACTTGCAGAAGACTGGAGGAAACGCGGCGACCAAAGCCGAGACTTGACAGTGAGGTGAAAGATGTGCTGCTGGAGGGAGAGTTGGAGGTCGAGCTGATAAGACTGAATGATTTCCTTCGGGAGCATTGCGGCCCCAGGGCAGTTGTCGATGAAGTCCACAATGTGTGGTTAGGAGTGTTTCTTATGGATCCAGATGCTTACGTGCAGGATCAGCAGCTGCTTGGACAAATTCTTGATTTAGAAGTGTACCAATTGTTGCAAAGGTCACAGAAGCTTGTAATGGATACGATGAAGCTTCATGAAAGGGGCGTGCACCGTCTTGAACAATGGTGGGGCTTTGAACGCAAGGATATGTGCACTCCTCTTGCAAGGCTAAAACTCGATTTGGCTCTTAAGGTGGCACCGAAAGAAGGAGGCGAAGAAATGCTTGAGGGATTCTACGAGTCTGTGTTCAATGCGAGTTGGCATCACTTGGTGGAATTTCCTGAAGGAGAATGGATGGGAATGATGGTGAGGAGAGGGAAACCACTGCAGTCATGGACGTACAGGGCGGTTGGCGGCATTCTCGAAAAGGATGACAGCGTGGAGCAATTCAGCCCACCACGTCTCAGGCTTATGGTGCTCGTCTCGGACAAGGGATGGCCGTACTCGTGGATGTTGGAGAATTCCACTCGTGACTGCTATGTGAACTGTGAGGTGGAGCGAGTGTGGCAGATCGTCAAGGGCGATCTAACCGAATGGTTCAGCACTCACCATGGTGAGAGCGACTTTACGCCTGAGGAGCGTCTCTTGATTGGGACGCCCGGGATCGGGAAATCGATGAATGCCGGCTCGTACCTCCTCTACCAGCTGCTGCACTACGATGCGGAGAAACTCCAAGTGGTTGTGTACCGCATTGCGGAACGATCCTACCTGTTTGACAAGACCACCGAGACGGTTACACATTACGCTGAAGAAAGCACGTTTTTGAAGGTTATGGGGGAACTGTCTGGGCGTGGGATGAGGGGGTATATCATCCACAACGTGGCCGAGCCTATTCTTGAACCGTCTGTTCGTTTGCTTCCCAGGGGATGGTGCATGATTGTGGTGACGCCGCCGGAAGAGAGTGCCCGCAGAGGATGCAAGAAGCAGTTGAGGGGCAGGCGGATCCTAATGAAGTGCCCGGAAGAGAACGATGTGAAGGCAATGTGCATGTGGATGAGGTGCGGGAGTCCTGGGAGGCAAGCGGTATACTGGCAGGAGGTAAGAGACTACATGGATAAGGTGGGACCAATCCTCCGCGACCTGTTCAGTGAGAGAGATACTAATGCACGTCCTTCTGCTACGAGTGAGCCGTGGGATGGGTTGCCTTATCAAATGCACATGACCACGTTGGCGTGATAAGTGGGGAAATGCGGTACAGTGATAGTCCGTCGCACAAACCCCTGAAGGTCATTTGGATGCCGGCACATAAAGGGAACGGGATATTTTTTAGCGCAGCTATCGCCACCGCGAGCAGAAGGAAAATATTTTTTGTTTGGTAACGATGACACCGCCGGCCGATGTCTTGAATCTTTTAATGCATGGTAAGGAATACATTTTGTGGAGGTCGCTGGATGTGTTTGGCGCGGTCGCACCCACGAATGGGGGCGCTATGGAGTGAATCCACCCTAAGCTCAAGGAGCTGACTTCTCCGCCAGGGCGACGGGAGCCAAAGCGCACCGCGCCACAGCCAGCACGATGAGGCAGCTCAAGGGACATTTGGCGGCATATTTTAACGGTTGGGAGTATTTTGACCACGACGTGTCGTGAGATTATTTGTGCGCAACACACGGACAGCACGCCGGTAAGCGGCTGGCGGCGGTGTGATGTTTTCGGGCGCCCGTGTGGGGGATACCGTTGGGGAGGGAGGAGGCCGACGCGGGATTTTGGCTTAGGAAGGCATATCGGTGCCAGGTGGGGGACGTTGTCTGCAGACCCACGTGCCGTGCGTGCGGTGTGCGTGAAACGGTCACACGCTTCTCGCCGAGACTCCCCGTGGCGTTTCACTTTTGAGAGCCCCGCGGTGTGCTTGGAAGGGAGCGATTGCATTGGGGGCGCTGTTTGGGTCATCGCCAAGGGTTTGTTTTCTGTGGCGGCATTTCTGAGAGATTTTATTTTTGTTTCTTTTTTTGTGCCGTCATCATTGCTGTGTGGTCTCGTGGGGCGTATGGTGATGGATTCTCTTTTTCATTGTTTTGTCCTTGAATTTATTTTTATACGACGTTCCGCTCCTGCTGCACTTTGCTGATGGAAGCGGTCGTCGTCGGGCGGTAGGCACGAGAGTGTGAAATGAGGCGCTGTGGACAGCGCCTCGCGTCTTGCCGCCGGGGTGTTGGGTGTTGGACGGGCGAGAGCGGGCAGCGACTCGTTTGCGAATTCTTTTGTTACTACTAAATTTTTGTGTTGTGCGTTCGACTGGGCACTCCATGTTTTCCTGCCTGTGTGTGTGTGTGTCAGGAGCGATAGGCTCATGCTTTCGTGCATGTGGTGTGCGTTGCACGCTGTGCCCCGCACCGTGTGGATGACGCTTTTGTTGTGCTTGTCGGTCATTTCTGTGCCTATTGTTCTCTTCTCTCGTCCTTCTTTTGATTGTCTGGTGGGTCACAGCTCCAAGTGAAACCGACTACGAAGACAGCGCAAAGAGTGTCCGAGCGTCACGGGGAAGGAAATGACGATAATGAGACGAGTCCCGCGTCTACGGTGTCGCGGGGACGTCGGGCGCGAGCGAGGGCGGAGTCTGACGGCGACAGTGGCCAACCCGTTGTGCCTCGCAGAAGAGTGGAGGAAACGCGGCGACCACAGTGGGGCCTTTTCAGTTGGGTGGAAGATGTACTGCTGGGGGGAGAGGCCCGCGGCAATTACATGAAGCTGAATGATTTTCTTCGGAGGCATATCGGCCCCAGCGCAGTTGTCGATGAAAGATACAATGTGACGATGGAAGTATTTTTAGTGGAGCCCAAGAATTAAGTACAGGATCAGAAGCTGCTTGAAGAAATTTTTAATTTGACAGAGTATCAAGTGCTGCAAGAGATGCGCGGACTTCGACGGGATATGTACAATGTTTCTCAAATGGGTGTGCGCTCTCTCAGACAGTGGAGGGACTTTGAACGGAAGGATATGGTCAGTCCTCTTGCAAGGAGAGAACTCGATGCGGCACTTAGAGGGGTGCTGAAAGAGGAAAAGATACAGATGTCGGAGGGATTTTACGATTCTTTGTACAATGCGAGGTGGCATCACGTGGTGGAATTTCCTGACGGCGGGGGGATGGGAATGGAAGTGAGGGAGGGCAAACCACCGCAGTCATGGACGTACAGGGCGGTTAGCGGCATTCTCGAAAAGGATGACAGCGTGGAGCAATTCAGCCCACCACGTCTCAGGCTTATGGTGCTCACCTCGGACAAGGGATGGCCGTACTCGTGGCCGTTGGGGCCGTCCATTCGTGACTGCTATGTGAACTGTGAGGTGGAGCGAGTGTGGCAGATCGTCAAGGGCGATCTAACCGAATGGTTCAGCACTCACCATGGTGAGAGCGACTTTACGCCTGAGGAGCGTCTCTTGATTGGGACGCCCGGGATCGGGAAATCGATGAATGCCGGCTCGTACCTTCTCTACCAGCTGCTGCACTACGATGCGGAGAAACTCCAAGTGGTTGTCCACTGTTTTGGAGAAACGGCGTACGTGTTTGACAAGAGCAGCAGGACGGTGACAAAATACGTGGGTAATAAAACATCAAGCAGCGTTATCTCGAGTTTGTGGCAGAGTGGGATGAAGGGGTACATTATTTACGATGTGGCAAAGAAAGGAACGCCACCACTGAGACATTTTGCGCCCTCCACCGGATGGGGCATGATTGTGGTGTCATCCCCAGAGGTAAGCAACTATGATGAATGGGAGAATCAACTACAAGCCAGTCGAATCATCATGAATTGCCCCGACGAGATGGATGTGAAGGCGATGTGTGCATGGATAACGCGTGATGGGACTAAAGAGAAACAAGCGGGATTCTGGAGGATGGTTGAAGAACGCATGGAAAATGTGGGGCCGATTCCACGTCACATCTTCGATGCGAGTGAATATGAAAAACGCACGAAGGATGCTATGAGGGCTTTGGAATGGACCAATCTTGGGGATCAAGGAAAGTACTTTACACAGGGAGGAGAAGAGAAAAAATGGTATTCCGAGGATCCGTCTCACAAACCTGTGAAGATTGTTCGCGTAAGAGAACATGGCCCATTAGAGGACTTCAGTAATGCACCTATATGTGAGTATCTTGGGGTTTTAACGTTATCTCGTTTGACAAAGGTGCTGAGTGCGAATGATATCCTTTTCCTCGTATTGGGGATGAAGAATGCTCTTCAATCTGAAGCCTTGGAAAGGTATTTCTTGAGCGTATTCTTGCGTGTGGAGTTTGTCACTTCCATGGTGAAGGATCTCAAGGAGCTGCAGCCACCATCGCCTTCCAAACCACGGTCCTCGGTGCTGAAGTTAAACCCTCATGGTTACCCCACCGAGGCAGCTGCAATAACTGAACTGAGGTTTATTGATAGCCCGGAAAAATTAAGGTATCGGGTGCTGCACATACCGACGATCCCAACCTTTCCGCTGGTGGACGGCTTTTTCTTCTTGAAGTCACCGCGGAGGACACTGGTTGGGCTGCAGATGACGACGGCGAGTGCGCACCACACCACAACCAGCACTGTGAATCAGTTCAATGAGTGCCTGGCGGCATTTTTTGATGGTTGGGAGGAATTTTCTCAGGGTTTGTCGTGGGATATTATTTATATACAACACGCAGACAGCACGCCGATGAAAAAATGGCAGAGATGTGATTACGTCAATCCCAGGAATAAAACCGACGCTGAAAAAGAGATTGTGGCGTTCTGGAACAGAAAGGTACACCAATACCGGGTTATTTTAAACGGTAAATTTCCTGAGGCAATCAAATTCTCTTATGATGGTCTACCTAAGGGGGATAAAAAAGGCAAGAAAATAAAAAAAAAAGTAGTAACAAAGTGCATTTTGCTTATAGTGAAATATATTGGGAGGTATTTTAACGATTTTTATATGTGTGTGCCTACGGGGTCTAGACAGTGAATGCCTTTCGTTTCAGAGAACCGTTGTGATCAGCAGTGCCACACTCACCACACCCTTTTTTCATTTTATTTTATTTTTTCCACCAGAGGCGCATCGTCACTGGAGGCTGTTGCGCACTACAGGGGCCGCATAATTTCCCTTTATTTTCATGGGATTTTGTGAAAAGAATGCCTGAGAGGGCGGCCGGCTGCCCAAATAAATTCATATCTCGCGCAAAAGAAGATATCTCTTCACAACTTTTTTCTCTTCTATCGCACTGTCTTTTGGGAGACCGCGATTGAGGGAGTCAGGGAGCCGACAGCTGCCAGACTAAATTATTATTTTTTATTTTTTATTTTTTATCTTCACAGCCACCTACTTTGTGATCCCCACCTTGCGGCGTTTTTTTGTGGCTGGAGGAGCCCAAAGGCCTGCCGCTTGGCAGGGGATAGGTGTTTTTATTTGTAACTGTGCGCAGCAGTCCACGGAAGTGATTGACGGAATGTGCATATACTTTGGGGAAAACATTACGGCGAACTCATTGCCTCTCCATCTACCGACTTTTTTCTCCTGTCCTTTTTGATAATTTCAGAATTCGGCCAGCGGTCCAGAAGATTATTCAGTGTTGTTTCCCTCTCGGTCTCTCTCTTCTTTGCCTTCTTTCTGTCTTTGACCTTCCTGTGTGTGCATGCAACAAACGCACAGCGCAGCATTCAATGTGATGTTCTTCCAATGGAGGCGAAAGCCGTTTCTGTTCCCACCAAACCACGACGCCGTCCTCGCAGCTCCTCGCGACAGTACGGGTGGACGGCAACACGGCGCAGTTCAATTGCCCCCAGCCCCTGAGGGATGCCGGATTTGGGGTTGCTGAGGCCTTGTTTGACGTCGATGTGGCGTTGGACGTGCCGGACGCAAGTACACTCTTCCGAAAATTGTGTGCCACTGCCGCCCCCAACTTTACTCAGGAACGCCAGAACATGGTGGCCATCAGCTACGGCGTACGTTCGTCACCAAAGCGACAACTCATGTACGGCTCTGCAGCTGGAGAAGTATATGCTGCTTGAGTTATCACCCAATTTATTCGGCTGGGCGCCAAAAAGGGCATTTTTGCCCTCTCGTGCTACGCCATTGGGCCAACAGAGCACCGCGCAGACCTTCTTGACGCCGACAACGAGCTCGGAGTTATTGTGGGCTCCGTGAAGGAGGGACCGCGTGTGCGAATGGCGGCGCGAATTTGTGTCTCATTGGCCGGCGACGTTCGAGCGGCGATATACACTATCGTCAAAAACTATGAGAAATACTTTATTCCGTGCTGTGTGAAAAGCAGCCAATGCCTGAGCTGGAGGCAATGCCTTCTTATTTGCCCGACACCGTCGTCCTTCAGCTTTACCGCGATGATGGTGAGGCGGAGTTTGCAGATTATATGGATGCAAACTCCCTGGCATTTGTCGCCTTGGGAGATGCCGAACGGCTCGTCTTGTGTGGCATTGATGCCACCGCGCGGCTACACCACGAAGGGGGCCCAACGAGCACTGGTGTCGGCAGCAGGAATTGTCTCCGGCATTTGCCGCCGTCGTCTGCGCATTCCCTTTGGAAATTCAGAACTCAGTCAGTTGTTGCGCCGAGCGTACAACACGGAAAAAGGCAACCGCAACAATAGCCTCAATGGTTCTACCGAGACGGCTTTATTGGCTCACGCCTTTTCGGATGCCGTGTGTGCGGAGGAATCGTTCCATTGGCTCGACCGGAATCGGATCCACCACAAGGGATCTTGCCGTTTACAAGTGGCGTCCTGATCAGGACATCATGGAGCTGCGGGATGAACTCATGACTGCCCGGGCCGTGTACGACTACAGGCATAGTGGCTATGAATCCAACACGTCCATTTCAGGCATAAAGGAGTAAGGGATGAAGCGCGTCAACGCCATTGAGAGCAACCGTGAGGAGGCGCGGAAATGGCAGCTGAGTGTGTTTTGCGGGCGCTCCAAGCATGAGGCGGAAAAGATGACCAAAGAGCTTGAGCGGAGAGATGGGGCCACGTTGGATGAAATTAAGAGGGCTCTGGAGGCGGAAAAGCGGGAGAGCAGTGCTCTGCAGGCCGACCGCGAAAGCCGCAATTGGGAGTGCGAGCATACGGTGGAGAGGATCCGAACGAGGAAACAGGACGAGGAGAGTGCCTCGGAGAGGTTGCGGCAGGCGATGCAGCAGCCGGAGCAAGGACTCAGCCTACGGCAGAGCGCCATTGAGACGAAGGAGCAGCAGCTCGAGATGGTTCAACTTGACGGGGCGAGGGGGCGAGAGGCCGTCATGTGGGAGCGGCATTCCATTGAGGCGGTGCGAAGGACCGTCCGGGAGGAGCGGTGTCGCCAGCGGAGGCAGTGGATCCATCAGATTAAGGAAATGAATGCAAAATTCCCGGAACCGGTGCGTCCCTTGGCCGAGGAGCGGAAGAAGAAGCGCGAGCAGGCGACAGCCAATGAGGACGCCGCCGAGAGGGCTCTTGCTGCCGACATCAAAATGATCGAGGAGTATTTGCCGAGGCTAATTTCCCTTGAAGACATTCCTGTGAACCCGGAGGAGACGGGCATCATTCGACGCCAGTTTGACGAGGTCTTCACGCAAGAGGAACAGACATAATTGGCCAGCGCTGAAGAGGAACGGGCCCGCAAGGAGAGGCTGGGACGAGGACTCGAGGTGTATCGACAGCGTATGCTTGATGACTACGTGGCAAAGAAAAATGGAAAACTGCATGATGCCGAGGCAACGGAACGCCACCTCAGTTCTGTTGTGGATCGGGTGCTGAATTAATTACGCAACGGGGTCCGCGTGACAAAGATATCAAGCAAGGGCAGTGCTCGCAGACGCCTATATTTTCTCTTGGAGGACTGCAAACGTATTCATTCCTGTGATCTGGACCATCAGGGATTCCCGTTAAATCGCAAACGGCCTCCAGTCAGCATGTGGATACGTGACATCGAAAAAGTTCTCATCGGCCTGTCCACAGCCTCATTTGTGAACTACAGCGGCGAGGCACAGCTGGCAAAAACACGCCAGGAGGCAGTTTCTGACAATGGGACGCACCGCCATGATCCCACGCAAAACATCACTTTGTTCAGCCTTGGAACAAACAACCACCGCGCATTCGCACTTTTGCTTCGCGGCGGGAAATCACTGGAGGTGGTTTGTGAGGCTGGCAGCGATTTCGAGGCCTGGCTTGTTGCTCTCAAGCGTCCACTGCATTTGAGGACCCCTGCGGAAAGGCTTCTTGAGGACCGACGGGGTACGTGAAGAGACGCACGTGTGCAGCCGAGCGATAGTGACGTGGAAATGCGGTGGTGTGGCCCACTTGACATCCGCAATATGCGAGGATTTGTTTCTTTGGCCCCCGATGCAGCAGCTCTTTGCGGCGAGGATCACATTCCGCCAGCCCTCTTCCTTCGGGTGAAACAGGAGCTGGCGGAAAAGTCTCAAAGGAGCACAATAACCGCCTGTGGCGTCCGAGTTTGCTCGGGCCTGGATCTCTTTTGCTCTGGCCGAATTTACGACTACTTGTGCGAAAAGCGTGTCGTTCCGCCTCCGCACTAATGCCGTGGGATCTTTTATTGTTTTTCTCTCTTTTTTTTCCCCATTGCTATTTGTGGTTTTCTTGTGTGCTCTTTTGGATGTATTGAGGCGGCTGGTTGGAGAGAGGCTAACTGCCGCACAATTTTGTGTGAAAAGGACTTTTGAACCCCACGTGTTTGGGCTACTAGCGAGTGAAGAAAAAGGGCAGTGATGGTCACCACCACTACTGCTGCTGTTTTTTTCCTTTTCTTTGCTGCCAGTTTTAAATGGGCTATCCATCATTTCGTGTGGGGGTTCCACACCCCTCTTCTTTTTCCTCTGTTTCTGGATGCGTTTTTTTAGCACCGCCGTTGTGGGGCCGTTGCTTTGCCAACATGCATACGCGGGTGGTGCTCCTTCCCATAGATGTGCCGTGAAAAATATTAATATATTTTCAAATGCGCCGTGTGCTTCTCTGTGTGCGTGTAATGTGGGGCTTAGGCCTCACCCAGGCAGGGGCAATGACTCCTTTGCACCATTGCGAGGCGGCCGGCGGTGCGGTGCACTAGCACAATAAGCTGTGCGTTCCATAACATACAGAGTATTCGCTGCTGTGGGAATCGAACCCTTATTTTTTTGTGAAACTACCAGGGCTTATCCACTGGGTGCGGTGCGTTGATTCGGCAAAGGGAACAGAAGGACGTCCTCTATGAAGTGTGCCTGTGGAGGGAGAACTGAACTGCTACCTTGGTGGCTATAAAATATTGGTGTTTATCTGAAACGAGCGGGCGCATCGCTGTGCATGACGAGACTTTATTCATACGGACGTGAGGCGGCGGGTGGAGGAGGCCAACGGGCATGAGCAATACGAGAGCGATGACATTGTTGCCTGTTGAGATGATTTGAGCAGTGATGATGATAACGATGGGGCCAAACACTCTCAGGTATAAACACTCTTCTCGATGTCAGGATATTAAAGTTGCACGGTAATGTGCCGCAGGTTGACCGGACCTCTTTTTGTGAGGCTTTCCGACACGTCGGTGGAGCTGCTCGACGTTCTCCAACAGGGTGTTCTGTTCTGCACAGGCGTGGCTGCCCGAGGATTGTATCCGCCACTGGCGGACTGAAGTGTGCACGACGATCCTCCGACGGATCCAGCGTGTTGTACTCACCGCACTGGACGGTCAATCCCGCATTGGCAACGTTGGGGACTCTCTGCTGTTCCTCATGCCACACGAGGCAGGATGCATCCCATGCGTGAGGACCCTTTATCGCCAAAGAGAGAGGGATCAGTGGCTCCTTACGGGACATGAGGCGGCAGCAGCAGCAAATGGAAGAATGATAATGCGACTCTTCTCTTTACACCACCTGACGACGTTGGACCCAAAAGGGGAACCACAAGTGAATGCAGAGCACGGCGCACTTACTTGTGCACTGTTGTTTGACTTGTCGTGAAGCGGGATGGAGCCGTCAATGAC